TTTCTTTTATTTAAAGGTTACATCACTTTTAATTTACTATGTTGAATGATAATATAGTTGAAGGAGTGGAACCTCGTAAAGAACGAAAACGTACGATAAAGAGAGCCAGGAAGGGTTCCCCTGTTGCTAAAAAGAAATTGGAAGAGGGCTCTAATCTATTTCTTGAAGCCAAGCGAATACAGGAGAATCTCCGTTTATACATGGTCAAACATGAAAACAAGCCCGTAAGTAATGTTAGGGACCATATTAGCAACAAGATTCAATGTCTTGTTAAGATGATTGAGACCTCAGAAGACGAAGATAGTCAAAATAGTTATGACAGTGTACTTACCCTTGTCCAAAGAGCAATAAATGAAACATTGTCATCGGAAAAGGTGCATGACATGTTAACCAAATTTATCGTTGAGACTTCTATGCCAAAGGTTTTGGAGGCTCTTTCAAGTTCAGCACCTCAACATTTACAGCCTAAGGCAGGACCCTCTGGAGAACAGCACCAACTCGCTAGTCAAGATATGGATCATTCTCCGGAGGTAACAGAGAGATTTGAAACCGTCAAGAGTAAGAGAAGGAGGAAAAAAACTAAAGCTACTAATAAAGCACTTACTTCGTCAAACAGAGTGATCTCAATAGAACCGAAAGCTCTAGAACAACGGCAAGAGAAACCAATAACCATTGGGGATATTGTGAAATCTTTGCCTACAAAGACAACTCAAACTGAGAGATCGACTTATATCACTATAAACGGAACGGGCAAGAGACCAGCAGATATAATCAATGGGTTGCCTTCACCAAGCGAAACTGGAGTAAAGGCCTCCATTGTCCGTACGACCAAGACTGGCTCCGTGTTGGTCCGCATGGATAATAGTAGTGATGCCACGAAGGTGATTGGATGGCAAGGGCTAAGAGACAGTGGCCTTCAAGCCAAACTTGCCTTGAGGAAGAAACCTAGACTGGAGGTTCAGGGCGTCCCCCTCTCATGGGATTCAGCGGAGTTGGTGAGATTTTTATGGGAAAGAATACCCGAGAAGTCGGTCCCCACTCCGCTGGTCGTTGATGATATCCGGCCACTTTTTTCCTCAATGGCAAGGAATGGCTTTACAAAGAATTGGGTGATAGAAGTGCACCCTACAGTTCGATTCCTGCTGTTGGAAATAGGAAGCTTATATGGAGGATGGTGGAGTATTACAATCAAAGACTACCTCGACGCTCCTCGATGCAGTAAATGCCAGGGATATGGTCACACTAAGGCCACTTGCATATCAAATGCCGTAGTCTGCATTTGGTGCGCTTCCACTGGCCATGTTATAAAAGATTGCCCTAAGAAAAAAGAACTGGCTAGCCCATCGTGCATCAACTGCGAGCGGGTAAATGCGCCTGCTAGTCAAAGGAAGCACAAGGCGGGAAGTCGGGAGTGCCCTTTGCACCTGAAGTGGGCTAAAGAGGTAGCGAAGAGGACCTTTTATGAGTGAGCTTATCATCCTCCAGCTCAACATGGGGCGCTGGCATATAGTGGCAGACGAACTCCGGGCTCTTTATCCGCGCTACGATGTTATGGCGGTTCAAGAACCGACCTGCCGTGGGAACTTAGTAACGGGGTTTGGCCTCACATCGAGAGTTATAGCTATGGGCAGTAGAGAGAGGAGGCCCAGGGCTGCTATTATGATTAATAATCCTAACCTCGATGTGATGGATCTGAGGCAGTATACCACGGCGGATTGTGTCGCATGTCATATCAAGTGGCGTAATATTTCCTTTACACTAGTTTCATCATACATGCCTGATGGAAATGACATAGAAAGGGACATAACCGCCGTGGAGATGATCACGGCTTGCACTCGGAACGTGATCATCTGCTCAGATACCAACTCTTGGAACACGGTCTGGGGATCCAATCAAACCAATAGAAGAGGCGTCCAGCTTGGTGAATTTATAGCAAGGAACCAGCTACTAGTCATAAACGATTCCTCCGCTATCCCAACATTCTCCAGTGCAAGAGGCCACAGCTGGATCGATGTGACTTTGGCATCACCGGTGCTGGCAAACCGCATCATCGATTGGACCCTTCGATCTGAGACGAGTTCCGACCATCAGGCGATATCTTTTAGGCTGGTGGAAAGTTCATTTAGTTCCCACGGCACAGACAAGGGTTACATAACCCGAAGAAAAGATTGGAGCGCCTTCCGGTCGACTCTGGAGGGAAAATTGGTTGATGAGGAATGGGATGAGGCTGACATGGATCAGACTCATGATCTGGATTACAGGGTATCCAGGATCACAACTGTCATCCGTGATGCTGCTGAAGAATCCCTCCAGCATCGGAAGGCGAGAGTTCGACCTGTCCCATGGTGGACGTCGGCCTTAACTATGATGAAGAGAGCGCTCTACAAGGCCCGGCGGTCGTACCAGAGGTATATTTGTGACGAGAGGCGCATTACATTTCGTGACGAGTACAAGTCTAAAGCCAGGGCATATCGAAATGAGGTGCGCTTACAAAAGCGGAAGTCTTGGGACGAGATATTTGTTGAGGAGTCATCAAAGAATCCTTGGGGTATTCCTTACAGAGTGCCTCTGGGTAAGCTGACACCACAACAAGTGATTGCTGCACTCAAGTGTGGAGCTACCCATGCAACCACCCTGGAAGAGACATCGAAGATGTTTATAGCAGAAATCTACCCCAGAGATGATCCCTCCCAAGATAATGAAGAAGAGGAATTCATAAGGCGCACTACGGTATTTCCACCTGGTGCGGACTTGTGCCCACCATGGGACATATGGGATCTCCGTGCTGCTGTGGACAGGCAAAGGACTGGTCGTGCTCCTGGTTTAGACGCAATCGATGCGGCTATGCTAAAGAATAGTATCCCCTATATCGAAGATACATTGTTGGAGTTATTCAATGATTGTCTTGATAGGGGATACTTTCCATGAAATTGGAAAATTGCCGACATAAGGCTCCTTTACAAGGGAGGAGACAAGGACAAGCAATTAGCCAAGTCTTATAGGCCTATATGTTTCATCCCTGTTATGAGAAAAGTGTTAGAGAACCTACTCCTGGTGAGCCTACGACCAGTCTTCTTCGCCGCCAAGACTCAGGCCATCCTCTTGAAAGGCACGACTAGGGCTCACCCTATAAAAATGGTTATACAAGCATCAAGAATACGTCCAAGTGAGGTTGTCACCTATCTTGGGATTAGGATTGGAAGAAAGTTCAACGTGACACCCCACTTGGACTACTTGAGAAGTAGGGTAGCCCTAACCCTTAACGGACTCAGTCGTATTGGGGGCGCATTTTGGGGCCTCAGGTACCCAGCAACTATGACCATTTATAAAGGTGTTATTGTGAGTATCCTGAGGTATGCGTCCCCAGCCTGGAGCCAAAATCTCTCGCACAGACAGAAATGTAGGTTGGCCACGATTCAGCGGATGGCTCTGCTTCGAGTATCCAGATCATTCAGGACGGTGTCTCATGAGGCTGTGCAGGTGTTGGCAGGAGGAATACCTCTCGACCTCCTGCTGAGAGAAGACTACTACCGGTATAAGATTAAGAGAGAATGCTTAGCGGCTCTACCGGATTACCTCCGAGTGAGAATAAGAGATGATCCAAGAAACTGGAAGAAGATTCTCCGGGAGGATACGGTAGAGGACTGGAACCGAAGGTGGTTGACGACTCCCAAAGGAGCTACTCTAAGGAAGTACTTCCCCACCGTCAGTTCGCGACTAGAAGCGACTTGGGTCCTCCCGGACTACTGGATTTCACAGATTCTCACGGGGCATGGGGGTTTCCGAGCAAAGCTCGTTCAGTATGGTATAAATATCGATCCCCTATGCCCAAGTTGTGGGGTACCGGAGACCGCTGAACATGTTGTACTTACCTGTACGGTCTATAAGTCACTGAGGGCGAAACTGTTGAGAGAAACAGGTCTCTTTGTCCTAACAGAGAGAGATCTTCCTCAACTTATGGCCAAAGAAAGATACGATTACTTCAAAAGTTTTATATACGGATGGAAAGAAGTTGTTCTACCAACCCACTTCTCTTTGGGAAGAAGAAGAGAAGCTGCACCGGGGAGGCCACCAGAATAAGAAGAAAAGTAAACCAGATGCAAGTGAAGAGAAGAGCAAGCTGTGTGCACAGCTCAGAAAAATAATGTAATAGCCAAAAATGCAGCAGTGGGTTGTTATGTAACAGTGACATCCTACTGCTGGAAATACCCGTATTGCCTTCAGGCAGGGGAGGGTTGAAAATAAAATAATAATAAAATTCCCATATATTATGAAAAATTAATAATTTCGTCTTATTAGTTATTAAAAATAAAGAAAAGTTTTATTTTTATATGAAAAAAATCATACATCTGTTTCTACTGGCTACACACGAAGAAAGCAGTGTTAAGTGAGTGTTCTGAATCTGCTTGTAATACCGGATACGAATATTTGTATTTAATACCAGACAATCAAAAACAAATTGACTATCTCAGTCTAAGTACTATTTTATTATAAAAATGTTATACTTGGATTTTAAAATTTTTGGGAAATATAAAAAAAACACTGTTTTCAGATAATAAATGATTTACAAATTATTTAATGATTTTTTTTTTTTTGTAATAATTACAGACCAGCCTGGATGAGAAGGAAATATTTGATTGTCAGTGAAATAGTTTCTAGGCTTAGTCTATCTGGATTCGCAATCGGCCACACTGTGCATCGGTTATAATGGACTATAAGTATTTTTATGATTTCGAATCCGCTGGTCGTTCAAGTTTTAAAAATTCACATTAAAAAACTAGTCAAGAAAAAACAAAATTTAAAAATAAATTTGTAATGTATTTAATGGGGAAAACTAACGTATTAATGTTGTGTAAATTGGAAACATGAAACTTCTAAATTTATTTTTCATAAGATAATTTGACATATAATGACCCTATTGTTTATCAAATTAATTACTATTAATCATAATAAATTATTTATTGCTTATTTATTAATATTATTATGTAGGAAAATCTTACTTATATTGACTCGTATACAAATAACAACAGCTTCCTGATTCTCTCTTCACTTGTATTTTTAAAATAACTCCATTTTGTTTGTCGGTAATTACATTCTAAAGATGTTTGATTTAAACTGAAACAGAAGCTTTTATAAATATTGTAATAAGAAGGACAGAGTTTTGTTATAACTTTTAATCGAAAAAGAGCGGCTGCTTTGTTTCCGTCAAGATTGAAACGGCTGTTAAAATTTACCATAGAACAAATGGTCTCTTTGTCGCATTATTCTTTTTGAATAGGGACCTTGAAAGAATGGCCTTAAAGCAGGCAATTTCAAGTAATGTATAAAACCAATTATGTCTCCTTCCACTCCCAGAATTTTCATTTACTCCTTACAAAAAAAAAAAGATTGACTTTTTTATTTAGAGGTTACAAAATTCTAATTGAATATAATGATTGAGGCGATGAAAAGAAGTTAAAAAAGAAAGTGGTGATTGCTCGACTAAGAAACAGCTGAACTGGCGGATTTTATATTATTTTTCCTTTGATTTAAATCAGCAAGTCCGGGCTTTAGGGTTGAGCCTAATAGCTTCTGAGGGCCTTCCCCTTAATGAAGAGGGGTATTATATTCTAAATTGTGTTTGCCCATAAGTCCTCGATCCAGTCAGCATTGCAAACTCTGCTACAGCCTCGTAAATAATTATTTTATATATTATGTTTATGTAATACAATTAAAGGAACTTTTTATGAAGTTTCTTTAGAATTCTATATTACGTATTTTTTTTTTTTCGTGAACAAAGCACTATTTCAAGATATAACTAATCATGCTCCGTGTTTATAATTGTAATTTTACTACCATGAAATGTAGTAATATTAAAATATAAACTTTAAGACCAAAATCTGTTATAGGTAAATACTTTGAATAATACCTTAAACCGTCCTGGCCATAAGCAAAATAGCCCCATCGGCACACAGTGGGACGAAACACTCGTTTCTCTTGACATTGGTTTTCCTTCCGATATCCCTTTAAAATCATTTTAAAGAGGTTCGTATCCTGTTTAATTTGTCGTAATGAATAGAATGGTAAATGATGTTTTATGTAACCTGAAATATCTATTTTTTTTCTAGTTTCTGTGCCAACCTAAACCAATTTTAAATTAATAAAAACTAAATAAATGGAACCATATCCAGTTTTCTTATTAAATAATTTAGCAACTAAGAAATCAATTTTAGTAGCTAAAATTTATGAAAAATTGGCTCCTCCGAACAATACAAAAATGTGATATGACATCATTTACCTTCGGAGGACAGATTTAGTAACAAAAAAAAGAAATTTTAATAGCTCTAAGCTATGGAAAAGTGGCTCTCCAGAAAAAATACGAAAATATGATATGGTATCCTTTACCCCCGGAATACAGAATTGTTTAAATCTTGATCATTATCTTACATACCTATGTTACATTACAAATTGAAAGATATGAAAATTAAAATTATGAGGACACCTTTAAACTTTTCAAAGCTACGAAAATAGTGTACAACAAAGCTAAATAAACGCCAAATGTTGTAATAAAATTATAATTACTTCTACATACTACTGAACGAGTAGCTCCTTTGTACACTACTGAAAATTTAATAACGAATATGTGATAAAATTTCTTTTATAATATTATATGCTTGGGAAGAGGTAGAGGAGGAGAATTAGTACTCACTTGGAAAAATAAAAAAACTTTATACCTATCGGTACTTGAATAGAAGACAGGGCAGGAAATATGGTGAGGCAAAGCGGACACTTGAACCGAGCTGCAGAATTTAGAGGACGCCAAATTTCGAGAATTTTTTGCCTAAGTAGAAAATAATACTTTCTGTTGTTTTGAACATTTTTTTTTCAAATACCTTGTTTAGTAGCTACTCAGTTTCTTACACCTGCTGTAAGATTATCTGATTTTCAGACACATTATAAGGTTTCTCGGAGCGTTCCTTAGTTCTGTTTAAACTTTATTTTTACTTTACTTACCTATATATGAAATATATAGTAAAGGAAAGTATTGCGATCGTAATTTTTTTTTTACTGATAATTAGGATGTTTGGGCTCTCTTCTATCAACCTTAATTCTACAAATGACGTACATTTATTATTATCTGAAGATTATATTGTTATTGGGAAAAAAAATATCTTACAAATCAAAATAAATAAAATGTTACTTGTCTTATGGGGCGAAAAAATTAAGCTCCTTCTGTCCTAATCTTAGTCCTGGTAGAACCCAACTTACATGATGGTGGTTGACCAAAATCTCACATGATAACATATATAATGAACACATGATATAACTGTTACAATAATCGTATAATGGTTAAATGAATATTAGTGGTTATTAAAATTACTACTAATAATTAGTTTAATACTAACAATAATATACTTTAGGTCAAATTTTCTCCGACTACATTCAAGTCATATGGCAAGTTCATCAGCGTCTCCCTAATGTAATGAATAGGACACACAACTTTTCTCTCATTACTACCGTTTGAGTATATTTCGGCATACGTCCATTTATCCAGATTTTTAAAGCCAGAAGTTGAAAGTCATACGCTAAAATTTGTTGATGAAAACTTGATTACTTAAATTATGCGGTAGACGCAGCAGATTTGATTGTATTTTTAGGAACTTTTTTTTTAATTTCTATTTTTTTCTTGCCTCTTGGCAAAGCAAATTTTTGGTAGAAGTAGCGCCATACTTCTACCACTTATCCTCTGGTTCTTCGGTCTTCGTTAATGGAGGTTGAAGTGATTATCCCCCACGAAATCTTCTTAGTACGGGTAGTTATCCTTTCTTACTAGCTTAGGGAAATCATCCTGCGTGATGTGTAGTCCGGTTTACCTCAGAAGTTTGGTCCTTATTGCTTTAAAAGCGGTATAAGTCGTGACGATATGCTCAGCACTATCTGGAATACCACAACAGGACAAAGGGAGTTAATTTTTTCCCAAAGCCATGAAGCTTAGCGCGATGATCCCCATGCCCTGTGAGGAATTGTGTTGGCCAATAGTCAGGTAGGACTCATTTCGCTACCAACCTTGAATAGACGGTAGGAAAGCATTTCCTCAAGGCGGTGCCTTTATGAGTAGTTGCCTATCGTCATTCCACCGTTCAATGGTGTCCTCTTGTATTATTCTTTGCCATTTAGATGTATCTGCTGCAACCCTTTCTTGGAGATTTTACAGAAGATTTTCTGAGCCTTCTTTATTAAGAATATATTTAAGCTTGTCTTTTTGCAAAAGAAGGTCGAGAGGTACCCCTCCTGCTAAAACCTGCACCGCTTCATAAGCATCCTGTAGAACTTACTCCGACCCGAACCATTCTCTGGATTGTCGCCAATCTCTGCTTCTGTAGTTAAGGGTATAAAATACCACCTAATGACTTTTTGAAATTAAACAACGATAAAAACAGTTGTTCAATTTCCAGCAGAAAAGTAGATAATTTAAGATTTGTGTTTTTTTATGTGAGTCACGTGTTTAGTTGAATAGGAAGCGATAACATAAACAATATTTGATTTAAGTAATTAATCATTACTCCATAGTAAATTATACAAAACTTGCTTTAAACGAAAGTTGAGTTTGTTATTGTTAAAACTATTTAAAGAGGATTATTGAGTGGACATAAAATACACTGCTAATTTTCGTTTAGGCAGTGTTTTGGGTCCAGTTCTCTACATCCTTTTCACTGCCGATATCCCTCCAAATCCCGATACCTTCCTAGCTACATTTGCCGATGATACTGCCATTCTATCCTTCCACTCAGATCCTCAAATAGCATCTCAAAACCTACAATCTCACCTCTCCTTGATTGAGCAGTGGTGCAACGACTGGCGCATTAAAATCAATGAAGCAAAATGTAAACATATTACTTTCACTATGCGACGCAGATCCTGTCCCACAATCCTTTTCAATTCAATACCACTTCCCTACTCAGATACAGTCCGTTACCTTGGCTTCCTTCTAGACAAAAGACTAACTTGGAACCCACATACGAGACTTAAAAGACAAGAACTTAACCAACGATATGGCCAGCTATATAGACTACTAAGCAGGACATCTCATCTTTCGATTGAAAATAAACTTTTAATCTACAAGACAATACTGAAACCTATCTGGACCTACGGACTTGAACTGTGGGGAACTGCTAAACATTCGAATATCAAACGCATCCAATCCTTCCAGTCCAAAGTACTTAGAACAATAGTCAATGCCCCATATTATGTCACAAATAAGACCCTACACCATGACCTTAACATCCCATTTGTCCTCGACATCATCCCATCCAGATTCTCAAACTTTCACCAGAACCTTATCCATCATCCAAATCCTCTAGCTCAATCCCTATCCAGCTCCCACCATCCCTACAATCCCCCTCGAAGGTTAAAACGGCAGTGGCCGCGAGATCTATTGTAATATGCTTCTGGAGTCCTGGCAATGGCCAGCTTCTCCACTCAAGTCCTGAGCATCTGTGGCTTTAGTGCCCTCCTTCAGCCTCCACTGGCTTTTAATACTAGTGATGCGGCTGGAAAAATGGCACTGGGATCTCTGGAGTCCTGCTTTGCTTTCCACATGTGGGGAGAAAAGCCTGGCTCGGAGATTCCTGGGCGAATGTATATATTGTATATAGGTATGAATGTGTTTAGAAGTTTTTATTTTATTTTGTTTATTTTTTTTTTTTTTTTTCTTTTTTTCTATTGATTTACATTTTTTTATAAGTATTATTTATTTACTTTTTATATTTATAGTTACTTCTGTATTACTTGTATATACTGTATGAATGAGAACTTTTAGCCTTAATACTTATAGCCCTCCAACAGTGGCTGATTGTATTATTATTCAATAAAAAAAAAAAAAAAAAAAAAAAAATTTCGTTTAAAACAAGTCATAAATCATTTGTGTGTTTTTTTATCACCCCTTCAACTGCACTAAATTTACACCACTTAAAAAAAAAAAAAAAAACTTCGTTGTTTAATAGCTTTAAGTCCATATTAATTAAGTTAAGATTTATTAGGAAAAATTTTGAGATTCACCTCAAGTTGTGTAAAGAAATATTTTTTTATCCAATCACCTAAAAGTATCCGTGTTTTAAGTAAACATTATTACAATTAACTGTTGTAAAACTTTTATTTATTGTTTTTCCGTGTTATGGTATATATTGTAATAAATATAATTGTCTAAAACATATTTTATTTATAAAAATAAAACAATTAAAAATAATGATTTTTCAAATATTTTTCATGTAAGGTGATTATGAATTTGTGGTTTTCTCTCAGATTTCTGTCACTTGATGTGTAGTTATGAGCGACATTTAAATACTTATCAATTCCTATGACGGAGATCTGGGAGAAAAACATTATCATAATCACTTTATGTGAAAAATCATCATTTTTAAATTTTTATTATTATAAATAAAATGTGTTTTATTTGCTTAAAACTTATTTATTTTTGGATTATTTAATCCAATATATTAATTACTATATTAAATTTATGTCAAAACTTCTATGTGTAAAGAAATGATATGATTTTTTACCCGGTCACCTAAAAGTACCTTTGTTTTCTGCAAAAATGACTACAATTGATTGTTTCAAAGCTTTTATTTCTTGTTTGTCCGTGATGTGGGATGTATTGTAATTAACACATAATCAAAAATCATATCATTTCTTCTCACATAGAAGTTTTGATATAACTTGGTATTAGATTAAATAATCCATCAAAAGATTAAATGATTTAATTATTTCAAATCATCTCCTGCTAACAGTATCAATATTTTTTATTTTATGTTTTATAACTGATGTTCGAATACTTTTGATTCTTTCTGTGACTGTATTTGCTGTAGTTGAGGACTGTAAATTTTAATTAGTTGGTAGTACAGTTGAATCTTTATCAGGACTTATAATACGGGCTTTATTAATATTTTAGAAGACTATTTAAAAAGTGGTCAACTTAAAGAAATTCTTCTTCCTTATATTTTGGCTTCTCTGTCAATGAATGATATTTAGTCTTCATTCTAAAGGAATTGTTCACCGACGGAAATACACAATGAACTAAAATGTCTAAAAATAATTGTCAACATCATTCCATATTTTTTGATACATTAAATTAACAATATATAAGTGAATAATTTATATTCACCTGCAAATTCAAAGCATTTCTAATTTTTGTTAACTTTTAAATTGGCATATATGATTTTTACCCTCACTAGTTTGGGAGGTAACATTATTGTTATCTATGTTTACTGTCAACGTAGTGCCGTTGGTTTTTACATTTGTAATTAACTTATTTATGCGGAAGATTAAAGCCTTGTTTTTATTTTAAATTTAGAATATAGCTTTCGCTCATGGAATCTATGTAGATATTATGTTAGATCAAAGCTTTATTATTGTCCTGTTTTGTTTGGAGAATGGATGGTAATCATATTCTTGTGTCTAAATATTGATCATTGAATGTTTTAATATCATAAAAACTGATCATACTTTCCAATTATTTAGATTCCTGGCAAAAATTCATGGGAATAGATTGTGGTAGTGAAGAAGGGCCTTCCAGTCCTGTTTTTCATAAAAAGAAATGGGTTGTTTTGCCAACATCTTTAAAAAGGACTGGTTCTGGATCATTGTTGACTAAATGTCCTGAAAAGAAACTGAAGAACAAGAGGAAGAATGATTCCAATAAGAGGTCTGTGTTATAGTCATGAAAAAACATTATTAATATTATTTTCTTAATCAATACACAAATGCAGTACAAAACAGTTTTTTTAGCATAATCCATACATAATTCTGCTAATACTTAAGTACTAAAATGATAGCTGGTTTCAAGATTATTTTCAGCACACCAAAGATGGACCGCTGTAAGTAAATGAGTAGAAATGACAATAATGTTCATATACAAATGACAGCCATGTCATAGTGACATATTGTTACTTGAAATTCACTACGATATGAAAAACTGAAAATACTTTTTAAACTAACTAGTTGAGCAATAACTGAAAATGTCCATCCTTAGTGTATTTTTCATGATGGTGAAAAACATACTCTATTATACATAATAAATGACATTATTTTATTCATTACTAATATTATGATGTAGGATATGAAGAAGTGTGCTGTTAAAAAAATAAATTTAATTTTGATTATAGCAATGTTTATTCAATCAGTATTGGTCATTTCCCAGTGTCATTATTATAGGTCATGCCTATTAATTCTATTTGATACAGAGGATCTCTATTACCACTGGTCTTAAAATATAAGAACTATGTTTATTTTGATATTTATATATTTAGTTAGTAATCAAGCATTATATTTTTCCAAGCTACTTTAATGTAATTACCTACATAAGTTGTTTCCAAGGAAGAAATTACCCTTTGACTTACTCCATTTATTTATATCATTAACAACTTTTCTAGCCAATTGGCTCATTCCCAAGTTATCTATAAGTTTCCATATTACGTGATTCTATTTTCTCCTACTACCAGTGCACCAAAAAAAAAAACCTTGTTCTTAACGTTTTATTTGCATTTAATGAAATGAAGTATCTATTTATAAATCTGATGCTAGGTAGCTTTTATTCTTCCATGTCTTAAAAGGGGCTATTAAAAGAAGAACTACCTAGCATCAGATTTATGAATATATATGCATTTTATGAAATACAATTAAAATGTTAAGGACAAGATTTAATTTTACTGTTGGACTGGTAATTATAGACAAAAGAAGCGCATAATATGATAATTTTGAGAATGAGCCAACAGGAGGCCAATAAACGCTGTTTATGACATAAATAAATAGACAAATTCAGAGGATAATTCATTCCTTGGAAATAACTAGAATAATTTTGATCTTTATTTCCTATGAAGAAATGTAAGTTTCATTAAATTGCTGAAAATAAAACTTTGAAAAATAGCTTTACTCTCTTATTCATACATGTAAATAAATGAATATGATAGGGTTTCCAGCTGACTTAATATAAACAATCTGCTACCAAGGGTCGAAGCTGTGTCATCTATGTCTGCTTTGAGATACAGTCAGGTGGTTTCATTATTCTTGAAACCTGCCACAATCTTGGAATATCAATTTGAAACTAGTTATCGTATCTGGTTTTTCTAGTAGTTCAAATTGATTATACACACCAATAAATTACTTATAGTTGATAACAATTTTTGTCCATATTTTAATCAGTAATGAATATTGTATTTTATGTGAATAAGTCAAAGTACCTCAAATTAATTTAAAATTAATTTCATTGCACATTTCTCTGATTTTATTATTTTAATTGTTGATATATAATTTTTATTACTAAAAAAATAATATCTTCTTTCATAAATTTACATTCTTAATATAATCTTGCCAACTAAATAATGTAAATCCTTATTTTATGAAATATATTATGCTTCTTCCTCCCTCTATCTCTTTTTTTTTATACATATGGTAAATAAGTTTTTTTTCTCTTGTCTTGTAGCCAACAAAGTTTAAGCCTCAACAATACCGCACCATCAGAAGATAAAGCGCTTAAGAATACTGCTGAAGATGAGGACGATCCAGTGTTGATTTATAGTACTACTCCTACTAAAACATATAAACAAAAGAGAAAAACTATTGATCTTCTTAGTTGCTCGTTTAGGAGTGAAGGTAGTTTTTGCAAAAAGTCAAAATTAAATGATGAAGAACATGCTGAAGTATTTATAACTCCATCAGGCATTAATTTAGAAAAAAACATTAATAGTGATATAGTTCCAGAAACACTGACGCCAACTTCTGTTAAAGGTTCTTCTCCACAATCAAATAAAAGCAACATTTCACAAAAAAATATTTTTAATAAGCCCCAAAGAAAACTGTTATATTCTTGCAATGAAAAGAGTAATTCGGGTTTGACAGCTCCAACTCTTACTGTGAATGATATTTTTAAATCAGTTATAATGATTGATGAAGCCGATATTCATTCGTCACCAAAAAAAAATCGAAAAATTAGTTTTGAAGGTAGGTCTAGTGATTTTCAAAGTGTGACATCCTTAACTAGTGAGAACCCAAAAGATTGCCCTAAGGAGGCAAATGACCCTGTTTCATCCTATCATATCAGTACTCTTGAGAAATGTAATGATTCCTTTGGGAATTGTATGTTTACTGAAATAGAAAATGAATGTGTAGCCACCAAAGATGTTTGTTCAAAATCTAACTACGGGAAAGGATCAATGACTACTAATAGTCCTAAAAGTCCTGTTGACATTAATCCCATGGATGAAACATTTAGTAACTATAGATTTACTGAAATTGAAGAGGACTACAGTTGTTTTAATCACAAAAGATTGAAAGATAGTGATCCTATGGCTTCATTCATAAAATCAGATATTGGAGGAACCAGTAGCTTATGTTCAGATTCTCACAACCATGTTGGAAGAAATACCTCTTTAATGTCAGAACATAAAGATGATTGCCCTAGTAATAAACTTATTAGTAAAGAATCTGGAGTTTTAAAGAATAGAGTTGAAGTCCAATCTTATCACTCATTAAGTAATGAAAGAGATAAAATATTTTTACAAGAAAATGGTTTGGAAAATTCTTTTTTGCAATCTGGTGGTGATGAAAACGATATTTTTAACAGTACCATATTACCCCAAAAGTCAATAACTAAACTCGAAACTGCTATAGATAAAGAAACTTTTCTTTCAACTTCAAAGGAATGTTTCGATGATTTAGATGCTATTTCTACTGAGGAATTTAGAAATAAAAATTTAGTAAATCATCATCACCATCATCATAATGAATTGAATTCAAGTTCAAATGAAGATATTTTAAATAAAACCTTAGACAGTTCAGAAAAAGATATGCTTAACAAATCTTCTATCAGCAAGCTTGATGTTACTTTAACTGATATTATGCAACGGTTACTTAAGAAGAGAGTTAATAATGAATCAAAGCCAAACTTAAAAAATCAAAGCTTAGATAAACATATTACTAGCAATAGTAACAGTTGTTTTAATGCCTTGACACAAGAAATTACTGAAGAGGAAACTAAAAATCATGAACTGTGTGATCAAACATTGAGAAATATTTCATCATCAGAGTGTATTCCTGAATCGTTTGGCTTATCAAATGCTAATGAAACTGTGTTTTTAACTCAGGAATATTTAGAAAATGCAAAATCTGAGGTTAGTGTTGATTCATCCGTGATATATTATCAACAATCATTTGATTACATGATTTCTGCAGAAGTTAAATCTCGATTATCAGGTAATAATGCTGTTGTACATCTTACGGAACAAGAACCTATACTTTTAGATCAATCATTATCATCAGAAGTTAGCAAAGTGGCTGATAATGATGGTAGATCACCTGATGATTCCTTCATGGATATCAATCATAAACACACCAATTTAAATGAAAGTAATGCCAGTAATTTAAATGAGTCCATAAATGTAATTGAAAACACTCTAAAATCTCCAACATATACTGATTACTTTAACGATAGTTCTGAAATTAAATTTTCTCAGTATGAACATATTTCTCAAAATCCAGTTATAAGTTGTTCAACAGCCCTTTTGGGTGTAAAAGAACTAAAAAAAGTTAATAGTGTTGAAATGAATTCCAACAAGGTGCATAGCAACTGTAATAAATTTTCAAACGAGATGTCAAGTAGGACTGGTGTTTCTGTTTCAAATAGTGATTTTATTTCACAAGGGTGTTTACAGCAATTTAATTGTTCTTTTCAATTGGAATCTGATGATTCAGTTCTGCGAAAAAAAGAAAATAATTTAGACAGTAATGGAATAAAAGAAATAAATGTCAGTAATGTAAATAGTCACCATTCCACTTTTTCAACAATAGCTAATAAAAATATCAAAATTTCAGAAGAATGTCCGAGGAATGAAAAATCAAAATGCAAAGATATTTTAGAAAAAAATGCTTTAATAACACAAAAGAGTAATACAATGAGTGATACAGTCTTTTTTGAAGACAGTGATGTCTTAGAAAAAAAAAATTCTGATTCAGCAGTAAATCTGATTAACTTATCTGAGAGTGAGTCAATAAATATTTATGAAATGAATGAATGTAATAAACCTACTACAAAATGTTCATCTAATGTAAAGAATTTAAATGTAAAACAAATGTCACATACTTTACAATTAGGAACGCTGAATTCTACCCATGATAATGTAAACAATGACATACTAGAAACGGTTCAATTAGACCGATCAGGTGTATTCAAGAAACCAGACATCCCAATGGCTCATCAGAAATTAGATGTTGACTACAATCTTGCTACCTCTTCATGTAAAAATATTAATACATCAGAACAATCGTTAATAAAAATTAGTTCCATTTTAGCTGATAAAAATAATGTTTCGCAATGTTTCACTGGTTCTAATGTAACCAGCTTAAGTGTTCATAGAAAACAATTTAGTTCAGATAAAACAGATCTAACTGAATCCTCATCATCATTTAATATTGAAAAAAATAATATTGGTGTTTCTAAAAGTGAGTTAAGTGTTGTTCATAAAACTGAAGCAAATAAAGATTATCTGTCATTTAAATCAGCTTTGGCGAGGCCTGACAAAATTGATAACTTTATGTTTTCAAGTGCTGGTGGAAAAAAAATTGGAGTTTCTGAAAATGCTTTAGCTAAAGTGAAGTCTATGTTTTATGAAATTTTGGAGAGCGATCTAACAGAAAACAAGGATAAAACAGACATTAATCAGGCACATAAAACTTCTTTACCTGGATCAAGCAAAGCTGGTGATTTTATGTTTTCAAGTGCCAGTGGCAAAAATATTCAAGTTTCAGAAGATTCTTTAGCTAGAGTTAAATCTAAATTTAACAACATTTTGGAGAGTGATGTAACAGAAAATAAGGATAAAATAGGCAGTAATCAGGCACAAAAAACTTCTTTACCTGGATCCAGCAAAGCTGCTAATTTTATGTTTTCAAGTGCCAGTGGCAAAAATATTAAAGTTTCAGAAGATTCTTTAACCAAAGTCAAATCTAAATTTAATGATATTTTTGAAAATAGTTTAACTGAAATAAATCATAATGGAACTGAAATGAAAAATAATCCATCATCTAAATCTTTTTTGACGAGTTCTGATAAAGTTGATAACTTTATGCTTTCAACTGCTTCTGGCAATAATAATAAAGTTCCAGAAGATGCATTAGTAAAAACTAAATCAAAATGTAAAGAAATTTCTAAGAGCCATCTGACTGAAAAAAACAACGAAAATATAACAGATATAAATCATACCAACAAATTTCCTTGTTCTAGTAAAAATGATAATGTCATGTTTTCAACTGCTGGTGGCAAAAATATTAAAGTATCTGATGTTGCCTTAGCTAAAGTTAAATCCAAATTTATTGAATTTATTGAGAGCCATGAGACAGAAGTAATGAATGATATTGTAGAAACAAACATTGATCAAAAACCGAAAATATTTTTACCTAGTTCTAGCAAAACCTCTAATTTAATATTTTCAAGTGCTTGTGGTGAAAGTGTTGATAAAGTTTCAGAAGAACCTGCAGCTCAAGCTGAATCAAAATCTAACAAAATTTTAGAGAGCCATCTGACACCAGATAAAAATACTGAAGATAAAACAGATTTCAATCTGAATTCAAAAACATCTCGAGCTATACCAAACCAAACTGTTGATTTTATGTTTTCAAGTGCTACTGGAAAAAATAATGAAATATCAGAAAATGCACATGTTGATACAAAATTTAATGATAATATTTTTGAGAGAAGGCAACCTGAAGTTAAGAGTAATGAGACTGAAACAAATATTAGTCAGGTGTATAAAACATCATTACACATTTCAGATATAAATGCCAGCTTTTCAACTGCTGGTGGCAAAAACATTACAGTTTCTGATGTTGCTTTAGCTAAGATTAAATCTAAATTTAATGAAATTATGGAGAGCCTTGATACTGAAAATGAGAATCCTGAAGATAAAATAGATATTTATCAAACTCCCAAAATATCTATACCTAGTTCTAGTAAAAATAATGATATGTTTACAACTGCTGGTGGTAAAAATATTAAAATTTCTGATGTTGCCTTGGCAAAAGTTCAAAATAAATTTAATGATATTATGGATAGGCATGAGACAGAAGTAATAAAAGATATAGCGGAAACAAACATTGATCAAACATCCAAAATATTTTTACCTAGTTCTAGCAAAACCTCTAATTTGAGTGATCTAACAGAAAAGAAGGATAAAATAGCTATTAATCAGGTGTATGACATTCCTTTATCTAGATCAAGCAAAGCTGGTAATTTCATGTTTTCAAGTGCTGGTGGGGAAAAAATTGGAGTTTCAGAAAAAGCTGTAGCAAAAGTGAAATCAATGTTTAATGAACTTTTAGAGAGTGATATAACAGAAAAAAAGGATAAAACTGGTATCAATGAGGCACATAAAACTTCTTTACCTGAATCAAGTAAAGCTGGTAATTTCATGTTTTCAAGTGCTAGTGGAAAAAGTATTCAAGTTTCAGAAGATTCTTTAGCTAAAGTTAAATCTAAATTTAATGAAATCTTAGGGACCCATCAGACCGAAGTCAAGGCCGATATTACTGTTGCTAAAAAAGATAGTTATGAAGCTTCTAAAACATTTTTACTTAATTCTAGTAAAGCTGATAATTTTACGTTTTCAAGTGCTAGTGGCAAAAATATTAAAGTTTCAGAAGATTCTTTAGCTAAAGTTAAATCTAAATTTAACGAAATTATGGAGAGCCATGATACAGAACCAACGAAGGTTAAAGCTGATAGAAATATTGATCAAGCAACTAAAACATTTTTTCCTAGTTCTAGTTTAGCTGGGAATTTTATGTTTTTAAGTGGTAGTGGTAAAAATGTTAAAGTTTCAGAAGATGCATTAGCCAAAGTCAAATGTAAATTTAATGATATTTTTGAAAACAGTTTAACTGAAGCAAATGACCAGGAAAAGGGAACAAATGGATTCTTATCTAAATCTTTTTTTGCTAGTCCTAATAAAGTTGATGACATCATGATTTCAACTACCCCTGGCAATAGTAATAATGTTTCTGATGCTGCTCTAGCTAAAATTAAATCCAATTTAAATGAAATTTCCTTAAACATTTCAGCTAAAGAAGGAAATAATGAAACTGAAATAAATGAATGCCAATTATTAGAGACTTCTTTTTCATATTTTGATAAGACTGATCCTTTTAGTTTTCCAGTTGAAGAAAGCAACAATATTGAAATTTCTAATGTGATTTTAGAGGAAATGAAATCTAAACTGAATAGAAGTTCCAAGGATAATTTAATTGAGGTAGAGTTGAACAAATCTAGGGATGGTTTGTGTGAGTTATCAAATGTCCCCTTGACCGTAACTGATAAAAAAGACAATCCAATCCCACTTTCTGCAGATTTCAATGTTAGTATTAATGAAAAAATATCACATCTTAATGAGCTTGAAAGTTTTCCTCCTGGCTCAAAAACTAATGAAATTAAATGTGAAAATGCTCCTGATAAATGTTTGGGAATTATGTTCTCTACTGCTAGAGGAAAACAAATCAGTGTTTCTGAAGATGCTTTACTTAAAGTAAGATCTAAATTTAGTGAAGTAATGGATACATCAATGCCTCTGTTTGAGGATGAACAAAGTAATGATTATATTTTTCAACACTTGAAGTATCCAAATAAAAAATTGTCTGATGATCTATGTTTAGACAAAAAAAATTTAAATGCAATTGAAAGCTGCTCAAAGGAAATCACAATACCCAATAATCAAACACCTACAAATTCTAAAATGTTCACAAAAGTAGGTATGAATAAAAAGTTATTCAATAGTCCAAACCTAAATGACAAAAAAAGTAAGTCTTCTCACACAGAAAACTCAAGCTATGACCAGCCTTTTGCTAAAAAAGTATGCTTTCAACCAGGAATAGTAAATTTAACCCAGAAACAACCTAATGATTTGGGTGAACATAACATTTTAAAAGAATCAAAAATGTCATACTCAACATTTACTCAAAGTATTTCACAGTCATTTTTAGATAAAGAAATGGATCTAATCGAGAAAACAAAATGTCCGAGAGAAATTCTTAACCTGAAGGATAGCGAGTTGAATTCTCAGCTTGATGAAAATAAAGATTTAGAATCAAAAACATGTGATGGTCAACTTACAACTGAGGAAAGTGACATGACCATGATCTATGAGGTATCTGACAGTGCTGCGGCATTTATGGCCGATTGCACACCAGATAGATCTGTTTTATCTAGTCCTGCATCATTTTTCAACAGAAAAACAATGAAACCTATCAAATTGTTGGAAATGGAATTCGATGATGTTGATGATGAAATCATGGTTGCAGCAGAATTAGAAATAATCCCCAAACCAGTTACAAAGAATCCTGTTACTGATGATTCCCTAGCATGTATAAATTTTAGATCTTGTTCAGTTGAGGTTCTCTCAATCCGTAAAGATCAACGAAAGAAAATTGATGAAATAATTAACCAAAAACTTAAGTGCCGACCTCTGTCTTCTCCTGGATTGTATATGACATTAAGAAATAAAGGTAGTCTTAAAAGGATTAGTGAAATTCTGCATCCATTTCTAAATAAAGAACAGGTCAGTCTCTGATTATCCAGCAATATTAAATATTTCTTTTATTTTCAGTATTATAAAATTATTAAATTTACTTATTTTAAAAGTTGTTTCAGCTTGGATTAAAGGAAGAAATATTATGTATTAGCTCAATTAATGCCGAAACATATGAATTCTGTGCTGAATCATTTTTCAAGTAAGTTTTATGCTTGGTAGTTTTTGTTTTTTATTTATTTTCCATTTAAGAATAATTTTATATTTTTTAATTCTTGCCTATTTTTAATAATGGTAATATATGCCTGCTATAGTTATGAAGAGTGCTTTTCTGCCGAAGGAATAATCAATGTAGGCTATGGTTTTTCTTTGATATTATCTGATGACAACAAAATTGGTTTCAATGAATTATCCAGATGTTTCCTATCAAATCCTAATGTCGACCCATCTTTGGTTTCTTCAGCATGGATAAAGAATCATTACAAATGGATAGTTTGGAAATTAGCTAGCTACGAAAGAGCTTTTCCCACGAATCTTTCAAACAGGTAATTTTAATATTTATCTTTTTTACTTTAAATTTAAATAAATTCATTATAAAGTTATGTCATTAAAAATGTTTGTGAAATAATTATTATAGGTACTTAACCCCAGAAAATGTACTGCATCAATTGAAGTATCGATATGATAGAGAAATAGATCTTGCTCAAAGACCTGCCCTAAAAAAAATTCTGGAATGTGATGAGCCCTCTTTAAGGAGATTAATTGCATGTGTGGCTGATATTCGGAATGTAATTTTATTTACTTTTTAATTTTCTATAAATTTATGAATACTGATTGTGTTAATTGTTATAATAATTATTGACATTTTATTTATTTTTTTATAAATTTTAACAATCAACATTAGTTATAATACTGCAGTATCGTTAGTAAAAAGAAGTACCAAAAAAAAAAAAATGTAAGTATATATTTTTCAGGTCGATTCAAGTGATGGTGAATCAACTTATGAAATCGAATTGACTGATGGCTGGTACAGTGTATGGACTTGCATAGATCCAGCAATGAAAAATTTGATAGATCGGCAGAAGGTTAAAATTGGAATGAAATTGATCATACAGGCTGCAGAATTATTAAATTGCACTGAAGGATGTGATCCATTAGAGGTATGATTAAGTTATTTAAATACTGAAATTTACATTAATGATATTTATGTTCTGTAGTTTAATCTTTAAAATATTTATGTTATGTTAAAATGTTATTACTTTCGTTTGAATGTCATAATACCCCTTTTAAGCAATAATGGTACTAAAGACGACCGTCACTGACAGAATTTGAAAAACTCTATCCTTGTCATATGCAAGCTTCTGGAATAGGGAGGGATAAGATACACAGAGTGTCCAAAAGACAACCTGTACCAAGAGTGTTAACATTTCTCCTCACTACAGTTCATAGATCTTTCTTTGAAAGGATCAGATTTATAGACAGATTAAAGCGATAAGGTAAGATATGAGATGACGATTATGTAGAGTGCTCTCTTTCCAAGGCTACAGTAGGAAGTTACTTTTCTAGATTAATTATACGTCAATTTTGAAAAATAATGGTTCTTCAAGACTTTGATGAGAAATAAAGTCAGCTCCCAATTATCTATAGGTTGGTTATCCGCAGTGACACAAATAAAAGCATATATTTTTCTTTAAGGGCAAATTTTTATTTTTCCTCATCAAATGAATAGATACATACACTTTCAAACAATAATAAGGTTATTTGAGTTCCTTATAATACCACTGACAAGGAGAGGTTGCGGACGTGGGTTCACCGATTTCAATGAAACATTTTTTGGTGATACTGGATAGAAAAATATTGGACCCATGTCCAAGGGTTCTCGGCAATGGAATAGTAACCGGGAAAAAATATTCTGTATAATTTTAAACGAAATTTACGTTATTAGTTTTTACTTTTGTCTACCCTGGATTTATAGATTTTTAAATACCATTCAATTACTTTTTTTTTACAGAATAAGAAAAAAAATATGGATTATATTAATAGATAAGGCATGAAGGATCTTTAATAAGATAATCTAAAAAGGGCTGGGCCAAGTAAGCCATGTCAATTTTTGCTATAAAGAAGAAAGTTACATTAATTTTAAATGTTCTTTAAAACTCATAAAAACAAATTTTTATAGATATCAAAAACAACTGCAAATTTTAGTACTTGATTTTTTTGGGCCGTCTACTAAAGTATGCATAACTTCTCAAGATTTTCTCAGAATTCCTCATCATTACAACCTTTGGAAAGATGAATTAATGATCTTCCAAACCACATCAATAAGTTTTGAATTTCAATCTGTTTTACACTATAAATTTATAAAATCCTCAAACATTTTTATTTTATATCTTTATTTCTAATTTGTTTATGGAGGTCAAGTTTGTACCTTTTTGTGTAGCATATAGAGCTTTACATACCTAATAATTTTTGTGTAAATAAGTGGATACATAGTGAAGTTATTACGATTTTTGTGGTTGTTGACAGAATTTTGAAGGGTCCAGTCAAGACAAAAATTTCATGCAAAAAATTTTAATTTTTGCGATTCCTATAACAATTCATATTTAAAGGTCTTACGAGGTTGCAAAAATTTTGTTATCAACTTTGTTTCTCAGTAAAAAAATATTTACCTCCACGTCGGTTGGTCCAATTTGTTCACATACAAAAGCTATCTGGCAAATATAATATTTTTGTAAACTGGCTCATCACCTAGAGTAAATATTTTTTTGGTAATAAACAAAGTTGATATTCGTTTTTCGCACTTCAGACAACCATTGAATACAAATTTTTGTAACAATCAGAAAATTAAAATTTTCTGTCCAAAATTTTTGTGTACACTGGACCCTCCATAATTTTGTCGACAAACACAAAAATCCTGATAACTTAACCATGTCTCCCTATTTACAAGAAAAATTATTAGGTCTTTAAAGTTCTATATGATACACAAATGGTAAAAACTTGAGCTCCATAAGCAAATTAGTGCTGAAGATATAAAATAAAAATGTTTAAGAGGTTTTTGTAAATTTTTAACATAAATCGGAATGAAATCCAAAACTTATTGACGTGATTTGGAAAAACATTAATTCATCTTTCCAACGATTGTACTGATATGGAATTCGGAGGAAATCTTTAGAAATTATGCATGCTTTAGTTGACGGCCCAAAAAACAAGCTCCTTAGAAAATCATGTTCAAGAATTTGCAATTTTCGATATCTGTAAAAATTCGTTTATGAGTTTTAAAGAACACTAAAAATGAATGTAACTTGCTTCTTGATAGCAATAATTTACATGGCCTACTTTACCGGAAGCTCCTTTTAGATTTTGTTATTTAAAATACTTCATAACTTATTTATTATTATAATCAATATTTTTTTGTTATTCTGTCCAAAAAAAGTCATTGATTGGTATTTAAAAATCTACAAAAACGGCAAAACTAAGGTAAAAATTAGTAACATAAATTTCGTTTGAAATTGTATATATAAGAAATTATATAAATTATAAGAATCCTCGGATATAAATCTAATATTTTTGACCTAGTATCACCAAAAAAAGTTTCATTGAAAATGGTGACCCCATGTTCGTAGCCTCCCCTTGTATCATAAATAATGTTTTTTAAGTCTTCAGTTTATAAAGAGAGTCTGTCATTGTTTCCCCATTGGTTCACCAGGTTGCCCATGGATTGCTTCGACATTTAATAGATGGCTTACTATTCATGTGGTAGCATGATACTGAGAAGCTTTCCTGTGGATGAGTTTTAAAAAATTTTTTACTAAAAATTTAATCACCAAGATATTAAATATAGATTAGTCAGGACTTATTTGGAAATCTATAACAACTTGTAACTTGCTTTTAAACACAAGACGCCAGGTCACAAGTTCATCCACTGTGTATGTATATTTATACATATATTGAATTACAACCTTATGATACTTGTCTGATGAAAGCACAATGTTTCATCAATATTGTTCATTGAATTTTTTTGAAAAAAGTTTATTTTTTAATTATCTATCTGTATGGATCTATTTATAGTACCAGAATTTCTTTCTTTTTCATTTATTTATTTTATATATCTTACATAACTAAATATTTAGGATTATTATTCATTGTCCCCAAATGAGGAACTTGTAATATCACTATGCTCACATTTAATTTTATATTTTGTAGATTGCCAGTTCCATCTGTTTGAAATTGCATACCAACTGTGTCAGACGTGTTAAGTGGCATACTAAAATAGGATTTACACGGCATCCTGGACCTATACGAATATCTCTCAGTTCTGTCTTACATAATGGAGGACTTGTTGGTCTCACATCAGCTATGATTGCAAGGGTTTATCCTTTATTGTATATGTCAAAAGATGCTGATGGGAAAACAGGTAGTTTTTTTATTTCATTTTATTTTTCACCCTTATTTTTTATTCTGTGGCTCCACAGCCTTTGTAGGGCCTTGACCTCCACGACAGCGCCTCCATATCAGCCGGCCTTCTCCATTGTCCGATTCCCATCTTCTGCAAATCGTACTCCAAATCATCGATTTATCTCTGTCTGGGCCTTCATCTCCTTTTGCCTTCTGGTTTACAATAAATTTTTTTTATATCAGTCTTCCACCATCCTTTCTACTTACCCAAACCATCTTATCTGGCTTGATTTAACATAAGCAACTATGTTCTCGGAATTCTCTATTATTCCTTTCCCAGATCTGGAGGATCCTTTTGCATTCCTGTGTCAGGACCCACGTTTCAACTGCGTAAATAACAATTGGTCTCAAGATTGTTTTATAAACATAGCTTTGCCTTCCCTGCTAGGTTTCAAAAACACATTGTTTTCTGTAATGCAAAAAGACATCTGTCTTGCTTTTATTTCTACGGTAGTGTCATTTTCTTACTAACGCTCCAAGGTATTTGAAACTATCAACTTTCTTAAAATTGTGGTTGCATGCCATCCTGCCTTTCCTTTCCCTCACTTTTTGAGGATATGATGTATTGGGTTTTTCCTTGTTTATCTTAAGACCCAATTTTTTCCCAGTGTCTTCAAACTCCTGTAATGCTCCTGATAGTGCAGCTTGATGATATTACCAAGTCATCACCATACGCCAAGTATTGGGTGAGTGGGTGAGTCTATTATATATCTTTCCTCCTAGGTTCATCTTAATGGGAGCTCTAGCCAATTTTTCCAATGCAATATTGAATAATACTGGGGAAAGAGCATCTACTCTAGGTAACCTATTCTCCACCTCAAATTCTTCTGGCAAAGAGCTCTATCTTCACCCTGCATCTGGAATTTTCAATGGTCATCACACTCAAACATACTTCCTATATATTTTTCTGCCCTAATGATGGATGTTATAAGTTAATTATTTGCAAATAATTATTGCTATTTATGTATACCTTGGCCAGTTAGTGAAAGCTGAGCTGTGGAAGAGTGAGGAAATTTTTTTCAAATATTAGTATTTTTTATTTTTAGTTTTTAGAAATGCATATGCTGAACAGCATGCTTCCAGTCTGAAAGAAAATGACCTTACATTAAAGTCGGAAGAGTTGTTTGAAAAATTGTTTCCCCAGGTAAACTATTTTATTTTATTTTTTACTTTTACTTTTTTTTATATAAATTATAGCCACTATTGCTTGATTATTATGACATGTATCACCTATCATGATTCAATTTATTTTTTTAATTAATTGTTCCCACAAAACCTTTATTTTATTGTTTATAAAACATATGGAAATAGAGAAAAAATATGTGTTCTTTAATCAAAAAAAGTCTACCAAATACTCATCGTTTCTTTTGAACTCATAAGGAACCATAAATTTACTGTTATAGTTTCTTTTTGTTTATTTTGGATAATTTACTATAGGTATTGATGGTCTGAGGCTTTTACTCCACTAAGCCAACAACAAACAAAACTTGTATAACACCCTTTTACATATGTTCACTGTCTACCACATTTCATAACCATTATATTCTTTACAGAATCGTATTTACAGAGCCTGATTCATTTGTCATGATACTGCACCAGCATACTGCCTCTGTTTCAGTCAAACTACTCTTCTCAAAATGTGTTTCTGGACTTTCCTCCTGTTTTGTTTTAAGTTTAATATATGACAAGACTTTTTGATTTATAAACTATAATTTTTTCTCAATCCTCAACTTTTGTTCAACTTTGAGACCTATGAAATTAGCTTTTTTGAAATTATAGACATAGCAATTAAAATAAGTTTTTGCATATGAAAGTAGTGGATAGAATTTAATAAAATTGTTACCTACCTTATCTTGTTTTCACTAATCTCTTAATTTTCTCCTATTGAATTAAATTGGCCTTTTTTTTTTTTAAATAATGGCATGTCTAAGAAAGCATATATTTATGCATGTGTTGGCAAAACTAGGTGAGGGACTTTGATGGTATTCATATGAAAACATCTATTCATAGGGTAACAAAATCAGATTACTGGTGGTTGCTATTATGCCTGTCACATGGATTTTAGTAGAGACAGATACGGAAACATATTCCTTGATATTTCAAACATAATACATGAGTGCAAAGCTTCAATTCTAAAGAAATTTTTTTTTTTTTTAATATCTTGTATGAATATAAAGTTTCCATATCTTAGCTATTGAGGAAACGAAAAACTATTTAAAGCACCTGTGTATATTTCATTTTGAATAGATTTTATTTTATTTTTTCATATATTATGATTTATTTGTGTTGTCCACATGTATGTGATTCATTTACTATAACAAGTACATGATTTTCATTCTTGCTTTCTTTCTATTGGCTCATAATTTTTATCACATTTTTTTTTTTCATGTTTATATAGGTTGAGGCTAAATACAAAAGTGGAGTCGTGAAATTTGATAAAAATAATATCAAAAATATAAAGAATCCAGAATTACTATGGAAAATTGTATCAAATGAATCAGATCCATCTGAAGTGCAATCTTTAATGTCACCTGATCAACTTCTTGAAGTTCGAAAATATCATGAATTGATATCATCAAAAATAAGAGAGGAAGTGCAGGCTCTTGTGAAGAAGAAGTTAGAGGACCTTATTCCATCTCAGAAAGCCAAATGTTTGTTGAAGGTACACTTGCTTCTTTAAATCGTTAAGTTTCTTCTAGTTATACTTTGACACAAGAAGTTGCATATTTAAATATTGTAAGAACAAAGGATTCCCTCTTAACCCCATGAGATGAAGGAATGGCGAGACAAATAACAGACTTCTCTTCCATTGTGAAATTATTTTTTTTGGATAGGATGCATTATGATTGAAGGAAAATTAAAAAAAAAAAATAAGGATCTACTCTTGACCAAATGTAAAATCTGCTTCTACTTCGGGTTAAAGTAAAACAAACGTTCTTAGAAACATTAGTATTTTTTTGCAAGATCCTCTGTGTTTTTCATATTAGGTACTGTAGTAACAATGAAATGGGATTTAAATATTTGTTATTGGTTCTTAAAATAATTTAAAAATCTATCTTATTTAGTTTGTTATGATTCTTTTAACTAGTAATATATTAGGACCTTGGACAAGTTCTCACTGTTTTTGTTAAAGTTAATGCTTTATTTAAACTAGTAACATAACACTCAAAGAATTGTCCATCACTAGTCACTACTCTCTTCCATATTTCTGGGAGCATATGAATTTCACATCGGAAAAGTGACTTGTCTTTTAAGGCTATCCAAGAATCTGCCCACTTTTTGTTATCTTCATGAGAATGTAAGTGCTGCTTAGCCAGGTCATGTTCCATCAAACAAAATAAGTGAAAGAGCTATATCGAGTGAATACAGCGGGTGGGGAAAGGACTTGGTCAAGTGATAAAATCATCTTGTCTCTGCTTGTTGAGTGGCATTCTTTCCCTTAGAGCTGGACTTAAATGCATTAATTGCAGTCTACACCAATTTCCCATGATAGTTTAATTCAGTTTGAGCCGCTCATGATAAATTACACCGTGCTAATCCCACCAAATGCAGTAAAGCATCGAACCATGGATGTTTGGCTTTGTGGGTGATGTCGGCTCATGGCTGGACTTATTTTCTGATTTCTTTCAAATGAAATTCTCTAAAAATAATCTCCATGGCATAAAATTCGATATTTTAAGAACTAGCAAAAAAAAGTTTAAACTGTGAAGAATTAACATATAGTGAAGTCCAGGCTTACCAGTTGTAGTTTTTGGAAAATTTCTTTATCATCGGAAATGAAATTCACATAAGACTGGTGCTTTCATCTGTTAAGAAACAGTGAGAACTTAATCAAGATCTTAGTACTTATCTTGTTAAAAGGGTTCATAAATAACCATGAAATGGCCTCTACATTTTTACTGCAATTGCATTTTAATGAAAAATATTCACTTCATTTCTGTTAAAATTATTAAGATATTCATAAACTCATGAAGCTCGGATAATTAGTAATAAATACTACAGTGTGACCATATGTCAAGCTGAGGAAGGGCGGGGAAACAGGAATAGATTGGATGGATGAATTAGGAGTGAGGATTGCTTTAATTTACAGCCATGGTATAACTCGTTTGAATTTTAAATCTCTTTTTTTTAGTCAAATTATCCTGTTTGATTATTTATTTCTTTAGAAGTATGATATTTTATTTAAGAATAATTTTTAGCTGAGGCTTGTTGATCCAGTTGGTGGCTGTAATGCACTTTTGACAATTTGGAACCCTTCTGAAGATCTTCTTCAAATTTTAGTTGAGAAGAGGTGTTTTGATTTTTATAATATAAATGCCTCTGGTATAAGGTAAAAATATTTTATTTGCTTTTATTTTTGCATTGTATTAATCCTAAGTCTCTATTTATTAAATTAATAATTTCTAGGGATAAAGTGCTACAACTGTCAAGTACCAGTAGAACAATGTATAAGGAGTCTAACGTGTTAAAACCAAGCCAAGAGTTTGGAAGGAAAGTCACTACTATTCATGATATTGTAGTTAATTCTGTATCAGTGCAGTTTGGTGAGATGGATGTTGTTGGGACTGTTATATTTGTCAAAGAACCAGAGAAGCCATGGGGTGTCACAAATGTCTATCTGTCTGACAGCCAAGAAAGTTTCTTAATGATAACTTTTTGGACTTCCCTAAAGGTAATATTTATTCATATAATATAATGGAATTAAATAAAAAAATATTCTGAGGCTTGCTATGCTGATAATGCAGTTTAAAAGGCCCCTTTCATACCAAAGATGCATGCGTCATGGATGCAGGATGTGTGTGCGTCTTGCATCTTGATAAAAGAGCTTTCACACCAAGGATGCAAAGATGCACGTGCCTCTTACGTAATCTGTTTATATCCGTTATATCTGTTAGTTTAGTACATGAGTTTGAAAGATGAATAATTAATCATCCGACTCTTCAGACAACAAAATTATAATTTTAATAGTAATTGATATTGAAATAGGTATATATTTTTTCGCTGACCCAAACAAATTATAATTACATAGTTCTCTTACCTGTTGATTAGAATTTTTGTGCCAGATTTCTCTTGCATGACCTTCCATGATTTCTCTTGTTCATCCCTATTTGAGTATTCTTTATTGTCATATCGTATATTGTAGGATAGTCTTCAACTGCCTTAACAAAGGTCACAATGAAGTTCTCTGTATCGGGTAACATAGTTGAAGGGGGGATGGAAGTTTGTACTTTAATCACAATGGCTGATTGCAGTATAAAATGAAATTGTGAGAGTCGGGCGAGTCACTAGATTCTAGGAGCTCATGGTTCTTAGTAAATATTTATCAACTAGGAGGCCTTAAAAATGGATGAGGTAGGACCTAGAAACGTTGATCATATACAAAGTAATAGAAACAAATGGATGATAAAGTTCACAACTTTAATTATATCTTAATTATTTTTTTTTACTAACAATTTATTGCAATTTTGGCATACAATTATTAATCTTCCATGGTAATAACAAGAAAAATAGATAAAAATATATGGAGCAATGGCTGAAAATCAGTGCAATTAATGAAAAAACCTATAGTTAAAAAAAATTAACAATGGATAAAAAGGAAGAAAACAATAGTTGAAAAGAAAAAAATAATAGATAGAGACGCCAATCATTAGAGCTTAGAGAAAATTGAGAAGGGAGAGGGTTGACAAAGCATTGGCGGTGTAAGCCGACTGAACCCAATGATTGCTCCTGAAAAATATTTGCTTCCTAGACTCTAGTGTGTGGGGCGAGTATGCAAGACCAGCAGACCAAAGATGCATGCTAAAGTCTCTAGCTGGCTGGTTCCCAAGAGGTAAGTGTGTCTTGCATCCAGGCTACAAGACACACTTTCATCTTCAGTCTGAAAGCTCTAGTCCTATTACTCAGTCCAGTGTTTAAGATGCATTTCACATCTTCAGTGTGAAAGGGGCCTAAAGTTCACCTGATAAAATATTATAAAGAAGCTGTAAATTGATCTATTTGTCATCAAAAAAGCAAAATTTTCTTGATTCTAATTCTGTCACCCCTCATAACTTTAAACTATTTACAAATAGGAAATAGTGTTGTATATATTTTTTTGTAGTCCTAAACAAGAGGAATGTTAAAAAAAAAATTGTTTTTTAAATATTTGTTGAAAAATGATGGAGATGTTATTTTAAATTAAAAAATACGTGATCTCAAAGCTCAATTCCAACGTAGACATTCGTACTGAATAGATAGTTATAGACTAGGAACTACTGATCATTTCAATGAACTGTAGGATTTACAGTTAGTTACTATTTTAAATTGTAAATAAATCCCATCTGAACTCACAACTTCGGTCAGTCGATGAAAAGCCGTTGCTTTCTATTCCAAAATTTAAATTTATGTGGCGAAACTTGACATTTCATTTATTGGAAGAACTGACAGCTGAAATCTTGACAGGGCTATTATTTGTTGATTGCAAAATGCAAAATCATTAAGTTAAATGAACCAATAAAGATCTTTTTTCATCTTAGGTGATCAAGCGTTCAATAAAACGCTTCTTTATTGTGGCGTTGAAGTAATAAGTTGCATAAGGTGGATTCCCAATCTACTGTAAATATTCTTGGGTAGTCTACCAAGGTTGGTTACAAATTCTCGATTTGCTTTGACTTACGCCCTTAACATGTCATTGTGTAAGGTTGTTGGTCTTCCTGAAAGATAAGAGTTGGAAAGATCAAAATTACTGTATTTAAACTTGAAAAACCACCTTTGCCCTTTATGAATGTCTAATGGATTTTGATAAGTATCACTAATGTTTTGTAGCAACTGTTACATTACTGTCCTTGCCAAACTCAAAAAGCAAACAGTGCCGGATATGTACCTCTTCTAGTATTTGACTGATCATTTCAACCAAAATAGGGAAAAAAAAGTAATAATTTAATTATTTGCAATTAAAGAAGTCACTAAAACCTTAAAATGGCTTTGCTACGATGTTGATGTACACAATAAGCTGCCAAATGACAATCAAATAGTGACATACTCAGAAATAACATTACTTTACGGTCTTCCTATTACTATATAAATTGAAAAGTAGTAATTGAGAGTATTATCATTTGGCTGACTTGCAAAACACAAGATCAAGATTGACTCAAGTAAATATGATAATTATTTATAAATTTATTTATCAGTGTTATACTTTACACTTTCAGCATTTCCTGAGTGATCTGAACACTTTTGTGTTACGTTTGTCTGCCAATTGCTTCTTGACTTTTTCATTGTTTTAGAATTATCCTTCAAAGGATTTTTTCAAGGGCCATAACCAAAATTAGTCAAAAAGGAGCAATTGGGAACTATAAATAGAGTGTAACAAAAGTCACGATCCTGATGTGATGCATGTCATAAAGGATGGCACCTCCAGTGGACATGTATCATCTTTGGTATCAGTAGCTATTTTTTGGTCTCATTTTCTGTTTGTCAATTGTAGGAAAATAAAAAACACTGAGTTAAATTCCCATTGAATTAAAAAAAAAAAAAATGTGGTGTATCTATCCTCTCACACAACTTTCCTAACGATTTCAGACAAATTTAAAGCGCTATACATTTAACCTTTGTAAGCAATTGTGACCAATGTCTGAAAATGTGTTTTTTAGACTCAGGAGATAGTTCAATGTTAAGATTTGTATAAAGAGCACCATTGATATAAATTCTTTACTTCTTGAAACTTCAAATCCATCATTAGATCTCAACAATTTTTTTTAAATTTATAGGTCAGTGTGCCACATAAACTCTATGTTTTTTTTTAAAACTTACTATTAACAATGCTGCACTATTTATTAACAAAATTGCTTGATTTTCTAAGTTCGGCAACACATGTTTAGGCCTACAAATATTAATATTTAATTTATAATACATTGAAATTAAGAATCACAGAAACTTTGGATGTGTACTGTATGTTCCATTATGTGCTGCCAAGCAGAGTGTAATTGTATTTATCTTAAGACTTTCTTTCACGATTTTTGTTTTTGAACTTTTTCTCTCCCACCATTAAAGCATCTCATCTACACGAAACTGGGACTGTTAGGTGTTACAAAACTCTGCCTTTTAACTGGTAAAATTGTTTAAGAGTTTAATTCCTTCATTGATTCATTTAACTTTATGATTTTGCGTTTTACAATTAACAAATAATAGCCCTATTAAAATTTCAGCTGTCAGGTCTTCTAGTAATAACAGATAAATTAATAGATACATTTACAGATCTTATTTTATTTTTATTATAACAAGCATCTTTGCCGATTGTATTAGTATTTCCAGAAATCAATAACGAATGTTATTGACGGAGATATTTGGAAAAATATAAAATTAGACAGAATTTGCGAGGTGGTCATCTTTGGCCCTCCGTTTTTGGATGGAAGCGAACACGGAAAATTAGGGGATTTTTTCTGGTTTGTTCTGCATTGGATGAAGAATTAATCCCCACATTTACAGCCAATTATAAATTTTGAAGGTTTTAATTTGTAAGTTCTATTATTTTTATTATTTCAGACATTTGGTTGTGATGATACCCTAAAACCTGGATCTACTGTCGCCTGTATCAATCTTCAATGGAGACAGGGTTCAGGATCATATGTTATACCTTCAACTTATGCTAATGAAATGACTTATTTTTCTTCTAACCCCAACCAAGAATATCTTGTTAAAGCACTTCAAGAAATCAAGTCATCAATTGGTTCAAAGGTAATGTATATGTAGCCTCTATTTAACCCTTAAGTATATGTGGCTGGCATATAGGAGGAGTTCCTCTCTCTGATCTTTTTATTCTATTCAAAGAGGATCAATTTTTATATACTAGGATTGGACTAACCCTACAGTTTATTTTTTACCTTGTAATAGTGCTGCATTTTAGTTATTGATTATTTTTACGTTTTTAAATTGAAATCTAGTTTTATTATCATAATTTTTTTTTAACTCATCGTAATTCCTGAACTTTTGTTTCTGGAATTACGATGAGTTAAAAATGAGTTATTTTGTAACACATTACATATTTATAGTAGTTATTATTTGTAGCAATCTGTTATCCATAAACAAATAACAAATTTATTGTTTTAACTTAATTGAACAGAAAATTATTCGTCCTATTGTTTGCCGCAGAGTAATTATTTATTTTACAGTTACAGTAAAACATTTTTTAATCGATGGCTCTCTCCTATGGACACCTTACTTTACTGATAATTTTTAATATTTCTGGCTTGAGAGTGCAGGAATTTATACTGTTTTGCAATAAACCTATCTCTGATAATTGCTAATATAACATTTTATTCTCCAAGAAATAACTTTCCTCTTCCAAATAGACAAAATGTTCAGAAAATCATATTTATAGATTTTATGTTATCATATAGCTAGCTACTTATCTACATTTCATACGTAAAAACATTTTTAAAATGTATTCATAAACTTCATTCATTCAAACTAATAATGATAAATGCTTGTACTTATTAATTTTTAGATAAACACTTGTATCCTCCTTTTCAACGTATACTTCGCTGCAAGGGACATTACTAATAAAAAAGTTGATTATTCATTTTTCATTTTGTTTGTAAACTATTCAAGTCAGTCAATCTACCCTGATTTTTTTTCAGGTTCACAGATTGATTTATTTATTACAAATAAAAAAAAAAGATCATTCATATGTTTTTGTTAAAAGCTCCTTTTTGATTTTTTTTTCTGTTGTGGCTGTCATAAGCACCAATAATATGATATTCTCATTCCTGTTCTTTCTTACACCTCAATCATATTTTGTATCAATTGATGATTTAAGAATGAAAATCAGGGGGCAACATCCTAATCCCCTTGTCAGGTCTTGCATTCATGTCACACACTATTATGTATATTTGAACAATTCACTTAGCTGTGAAAATGCATTTCCTTTCTTTGTCTTGCATCTTGATTTAATTTTTAATTGTGTACTACATCTTTTTTTTTTTTTATTACTTTCAGAATCTTGAAAACTTTATCTTAGAGCAAAGAAGGAGATTATTTACGATTTTAAAAGAAAGGGAATACACTAGCAAAACTCCTCTTTCAAAAGTTGAGACACCAAAAGTTTTGAAAAGGTTAGAAAATCTTAAGAAATATGGAGAAGCATCTCCACTTCCCAAGCTTTCCCTTCTATCCAGTCCAGACATACATAGGAAATTCAGATCACCCAAATCTGGAGGTTCCTGATACTTTTGAGATGCTAATCTCATTAAATTATTTATGGATCTTTTTAATTATGTTAATGTATGATTCTGTAAATTTGTAAATAATTATTTCACTAAATATCTAATAAAAATTTATTTTCTTATTTAAGAATGCCTTTTGTTGAAATCTGTGATAATTATATAATGTTTTTGTGTAAAAAAAATATTTTATTAGAATATTTGTTTGTAAAATGTGCAAAAAAATATATGTAAATAACTATCTGTTAAAAAGTATATATAGTTTTAATAAATTCTTTTTGTTATTGATGTTTTCTTTTTAACTATTATTACCGAGTATTTCCTGTTTTTATGAAGATTTCATATCATCAACAACGAAGTACAGTTGGATCTTATACATTTTCAAAATCCATAAGTATTTTCCCCATCAGTTACTTGTTAGAATATTGTTCTCTCATTGATTAAATTAGTAGAGGAAAATTGAGATTTGCTAGGAGAGAGAGATTACAAGGCTAAAGATTGTAGATATGCACAAGTACATGGCTTATCAGATTAGTGTTTTCCTTGTGCAAAATCAAATCTTCATGTTAGATTAATTTTGGCTTAAGCAAATCATGCAGGATGGTGGGCAGAAGAAATTTACTTGTTAATTTATATGTTTTAAATAGTTATTTTATTGATTTTGTTATAGTTTTATTATCCAAACTGGTTATAATAAGGTTAGATTAAACAAATTCAATTTAGTTCCAACTTTATTTTATTCTCAAACTCTTAAATTCACTTTGAAAACCTTCAGTGTTTCATTATTTCTACTTTCATAATCTTTTTCAAAATCATTGTAGTGAGTTGTTACTATGATTTTATATGGCTATAATCTTTTCCAATAAGTAAGTGTCATTGTTCAGTTATGGAAGAAGAAAACAGAATCAGTAGGAACAACCATGTCCTAAAAATTAATATAAAATTTTAGTAGTAACCAGTTATATAAAAGTTAATATAATTTTATGAGTATCAAAATTATTTCTAAGTACACTGGGATTGGCTCTTGATTTTTCTCTTCAATCTTTGTAAAGGCTGCTCTGTGAATTTAATGAAAATGGTGTCATTTACCAGGTTGCTTTAGAAGTTTTAATGCTAAATTTCTGATTCAAATTCAAATATATATTTTAAATCTATTATTAATATTGTAAAAAGTGATTGTTTGGGGTAGGGTCTGATATAAATCAAGAACATTTCTGTTATTCATCATTTTTTTTTCTTCGTAAGAACAAGATGAACAATCGCATTGGTGCAAGAGTTCCAGATTACCGAGTTGAATTATCAATGTGGGTCAGTAATATTTATTTCTTACCAATCTTACTCTGGTTATTATGCCAATCTCCAGGGATTAGCAAAAAGGCCACTTCACAAAGTGGAGCTACATCTTGGATCCCGTAACAAGCTGCTATGTTTTGTGCTCTTAAAATTTATCGGGATGCCACTGGATAATTATTGATGATAATTACCCAGAAATGTTTAATACAAATTAATAATAAAAAAATAGTAAAATAAATTTGTATCTATAATATATTGATTGGTCCAGGATTAATTAATTGGATTTCTTTTCTCAAAGGCTGGTTTTTGTTTATCATGCTTTCTAATTACCAGCATTGCCTGTGATCATCATGATATAAATAGGTGTCAGGATTAAAATAACTTTGACTAAAAAACTTAATTTATTTTATGTTTAATAAAGACTTATATACAAATAATATAGAAATCTTAATGTGCAATTACTATATACAATAAACTAAATACATGGTTTAAGAATTTAATAATTAACTGTGAAGGTATGATTTCAGATATACTGTTTTGAGAATTATTGCCATGACATATTATAATATTACGATTAGGAATTACAACTTAGCTATTATGGTATGTGAAGTGGTGTTGTAGTTAGTAGATTTGGGCATGACACTTGGATGTTGGACTATTTTGTGTCAATTTCAGTTTTTTTTTAGATCATTGTGATATAAAAGAGATGGGAGAATGGGTTATTGTTAGACTTTTAGAGCCTTATTCTGAAAAAATGGTGTATTCCTCATCCAATTTTAATCTATCTTCCTCTTTGCAAACACAATTAATTCGTCATCTTTGAAAATTAACTGATGGTACATCAAATTATTTGCAATACTTTCAACATCTTCATGTTTCAAGACTTAAAGACGGGTAGACGATGGTAATGAAATTAATTTTTAAGAGCTCAGTAGTAGATTTACACACCATCTTATTTATGTGAACGAATTCCTGATTAAGATAGTTTGATAACATATAAATCTTGGAATTATTAAAGTTGGATTTGGATTAACCTGTCAGTCATATCATTGGATTAATCCAGGGGTGTCCAGAAGAGGGTTTCATGGCGCAAGTTGCGCCATCAAAATTTTTGAGGGGGCATATTTTGGCGGGTTCTTGAATGTTTAAGAAAGTCAAATTTCAACAGGGTTATGAATTTTTGGACTTATGGAAAAGGGGAAAACATGGGACATGCCACAGCAAGTGTAATTGAATATGATTTACGATTTTTCTAATTATGCCTCAGCTGCTCTGTTTTAAAGAAAAAGTGAGCAATGAAATATCTTGGGGAGAAGGGGTAGGTTCTTGCATCATCGACCTTGGAGGGGAGGATAGGCATCCCTGGATTCACCTGTCAGTTATATCATTGGATTAACCTATCAGTTATGTCATAAGTACTAAAAATGAATAGACAGTTATAAATAAAAATTCAATTATTTTTTGTGTATTCATTGCTTAAGTATTCAAAAATTACAATAAATGATAACTTTAGGAATATCGAGCACAATTTTTAAAACTCTCATTGTAGTGAATATAAAAATCAATAGAAGACATTGCCAGGAAATTGAGAGGGGTAATATCCTTCTAAACATTTCTGATGGTGTGAGTCACACCACCAGACATAAATGGTTTAAAACTATAGATTATAATAAACTTACAGTCTCCCATGTAGGTTTTCAACTCTTCAAAAAGTTCAGCATCGTTCATAAAATATTCGTGTGGTTTGGGTACACCATCAACCAATTGGCCCCTGTATGCATGTTCTCCTAGGTCCCGACAAACTCTCATTTTATTTTCGTCATAGTGGCATACATCATCTGTATTACCACGATATCCCTAAAAAAGTCAAATTATCAATGATTTAGCTACAAAATTACTAACACGCTATTTCTTCTGATAAATTATTATTATATTTTTATTATTATTTTTATTAATATTATAAACTATTTATATATTTTTAAATAAGCCTGTTCCCATTATAATGTCTTGTGTGCATTGGTTGCTAAATACCTCTTCACCTATAGTTTAACAAGTTTATGATTTAGTAAGCATCTACGTTCATCCATGAGGCTGATCATCTAATTTTTATAGTTCAACAATCTATGAAAAAATGTTATGAATTTAACATAGACTTGCACGTTCTTTTCGTCGATTACAAAGAAGCGTTTCTTAGAGTGAAAAAGAAAATTTTAATTAATATATTATATGAAAATAAAATCTTGTGTAAGCTGATAAAAATGATTCAGTTGGCTTTAAATAATGTATATGCAAAGATTATAGTAGGAAAGACTGTAGATGAGAGATTTAGTGTCCGCTATGTTGTTGCTCTTCATGGAGAGGTTAAATAAAAACAGTCAAAAGTGGTACTAAAATTAATAAGATGCAGTAAATATATGTGTATGCAGATAATTGATTGGGTGATTATTGCCAGAAATGGTTCTTCTTAAAAGCGGCGCAAGTAAGCAAGATTGGTCTCGTAATGAACGAGAAAAACGCAAAGTATATGAGAATGTGAGCGGTCCTAAGCAGATGAGCTCCTTGCGATTTAATATACAACAATTTAAATTTTAAAGTCGTCAAGAACTTCACGTACCACGACTCATTTTAAATTACGAAAATAAAATAGTTCCAAAGAAGGGATGCCCATTCCCCCAAGCTCGATGGCGCATAAACCAACCCTCCCCCCCCCCCTCTTCAAAAACTGTATTTGTCTCCTTTAAAAAAATTACAAGCAAAAGTAGGATTAGACAAACCATAGATCATATACAATTACACTTAATGTTGTCTTTCCCATATTTTCCTCCTAGTTCTCTAATTTGAAACTTTTCACTCCTAAAATTTATAGCCCCGTCGAAATGTGCTCCCTCAAAAATTTAAAACCCAGTTAAAATGTGCTTCCCTCCAAAATCCTAATGGCGTGATTTGCGCTATGAAACCCCTTTCTGAGCACCGCTGCTCCAAACATTCAAAGTAAAATCATACTAGGAATCGTGCGTACTTTGTAAATCTAAAGTTGTTTCGTTCACAACTGTTGTCCAGAAGAACCAAAGTAAGGTTATACAATACTCTGTTTAGGCTCACAGTAACCTATGGCGCAAAGACTTGGTGCCTCTTTTTTTACCTGTAGTTATATTGAAGGTTATTATTACACAATGTTTAGCTCTATGGATAAATAGACCTTAAGTTGTAGGTTGCAATTAATACAATTAATACTCTTCCTTTCGGATTAGGTTATGAGGGATTGTGATCTGGATGTTGCGCTATAGCAGTGATTTCGTCAAAGAATTGACTTCCTCTATCCTCTAAGCAGTGATTTGTTTTGCAGAGATGTGTATCAAGTCACTGCTGCAAACTCTCATATTGTCTTAATAGCAGGGTAGGGAGGAAAATAAAATAAGTTTGTTATAAATTTATTGAAAATAAGTTTTTTTTTCGCTTCAAAAATATAAAGTATCATATTCAAAAATTGCCTTGGACGAGAATTTGACGTTTTGAAGAGATTCAGCCACATGTCTATTTTCTGTGTTTTTAATTTTATGGTGTTTTTAAAAATAATGAAGTGGTTTAGTAATCATAAAAATTGAAACTCACTTTTTCGTAATGAGTCCAAAGTAATCCTGATTGTAATAATAAAAGAAAAATGATTAATTTAATGTAAATAAATTTGTACTGATTCATATTTCAATCTAGAAAATAATACATCACTTCTCAACCATATGATCTATTAAATATAGTAAATATGGTAAATAGGCTTAACATGAAAAAAGGATTCTTATATTATTTACATTTGCATTGCAGTTAGGCTTTGTTTGTGTACATTAGATTTTTTCATGATTACTTTATTATACGAAGGTAGGAAAGCATTGTATTCGTTTGAGAGATTAAAAAAAAAATGGTGCTCATAATCGAAAATTTCCACTCGCTTTTTACGTTTCAGAAGTCAAGGGTCAAATTTGGTTCGGTGTTTGTAGTCT